TCCCCATAACCTTCATTTTTATCGAACACTTCTTATGTAACGAAGCCTTTCCTCATTTCGCTAGAGCCTTGAATCGTTTTACCTTAAACAAGAAAACGCGCTTCAAAACAGCACGGTAGTACTTGTCGTCCTTGCATGCTTTGTGCAGGTTACAAAGAGGAATTTGTGATTTCTCGGATTTGCAAGTGGGTGCATAATCTTCTAAGGTACAATAGGAGACCTCATTTCGAGCCTGATGCGAAAAAAAGTGGTGTTTTGTAATCACGATTTTCGATAAGCATCGAGTGTGGCCCATTATGCTGAATCCTTTTCGAAACCTGCATGCTCGCATGAGGCTAACCAAGGGATGCTTGCCAGCGACCCCGTTGCACGAAAGCCCGCTTTTTTCAATTTCCCAATGACTGGAATTTTATGCTCCGGGTAATAGGCAGAATCCAGTCGGGCATTGTAAGAAGATATAAGACTCCTCAGATATGCTGGCGTGGTCGTGAGAAGTCCATCACGGCTTAAGAATAGATGTAAGCTTCTTCAGATGTTCTAGACCTTTCGAAACAGGATTAGCACAATTCTTCAATGACGAGGTGGCATATTGGATTTCGGCAGATAGAACCAATAGTGCAACATATCCGCAATACTTGAACTATGTAATGACAGATGGATGATTGTCAAAGAAATCCGAGTACTCTTCGTTTACGACCTCTCCATGTCCTTCTGCACTTTAGTAAGGTTATGGTGAATAATGGTTTGATCGGGAATCGAATTGTGGCCATCTTAGTTTTGAGCGAAGTTATGGAGGGCGTCGCAAATGCTCCCAACAGCTCCTGCCGATATGATAAGTGTCACTCTTCTCTCCTTGAGCCATAATGGCCTAAAGCTCGTGACTGTCCTCAGCATACTGCTTAAAAGTTTATGAAATAAAGGTCTCCTTATACCGTCAAAGGTCTCAGCGTTTCCCGCATTTTCGCGATGTTACATGAATAGTTTGATCCTCGTCGACATCGCCGATGACATTACCGTAAAAGCCACTTATCGGGAGAAAAAGAACTAAGTGCGCGCGTAGTTACGGTAATATCCTTGATGGCACTCTCCACCGAGTTATTCCTAGTTCCAGCGGGGGGGAAGAGGCTTAAACAGCGAATTTTCCGAGA